TATGACTGCTGGCATGTTTGTTGTCAACATGTGAAGCACCATCTTTGTTTCTGAAATGTGGCTTACAATAAAGCAAAGGCCTTTTCCCCTTTATAGTTGCCTTCTGATGAGAGAAATGTGACTAAAAAGTAGCATTTTGGGATTAGAATTTTAACAAACCTTAAATACTTGACTCGCTCTGAACTTGCTCTCCAGTCTCCACACAAGAAGATGCTTCAATGTGCCTTTATGTTACTAACTGGTATGCTGCACCTTTTTTCCGGGGCTGAATAACCTTGTGCGCCCTCTTGTGGTGAAAACAAACAAAAATATGAGGCGATCTGTTTCTTTCATTGCTAAATTTTTTCGTAATCTAGATTGAAATTAAGTCTAGATGGAAAAGCCTTTACTGGACAAACCATATACAAACAATGAGTCTATTTAACAGTAGTAGCCTATTCAGGTAGAAATAGCCTACCACGGAAATGCAATAATGTAGGCAGCTAATCAAATGTAAAATTAAACACTGCATAGTCTTCACTGAATGAATTAAATAGCCTATAATTAATTCCTTATTTAAGCTAATATTTATTATATGCAGTGTTATTAGATGATACATTCGTGCAGATATTTCTTTGCCCGCGTATAGGCCTATCAAAATAACCTTACGGACACAGACAACAGCAGGTTTATTATGCTGCTTCTTGTCGAAAAATATTTTTAATTTGTTTTAGCTACCTTTGCGGTTTAAATAAATGTGACATGTCACATATTTCAACAGGGCATCTTTTATTAGACCAATATTATGAATCTTTTAAATAACCAAACCTCAACAACAGGGGAGATCCCTCCAGCGTATTACGCTTTGGGGACGCTTGATCAAGAATATTTTAAAGGCCTAAGATTTCCTTAGCCTCCTCCGTCCTCATTTTCTTTCCTTGCATTCTTCCCTCGCATCCTAAGGGCAATGCAATGGAGCTGAGCGGCGAGGAAAGGTAGAGAGGAAAGGGAACCAGGATGCACACATTAGAAATGAGAAGCACCTCTGACTGCATCCTCACTCATAGCTCCTCTGGAAGCTTCCTCATTCCTCGTTCCTTCAAGGTGGCTAACGAGGAGGCATCGAATTAAGAATTGAGAAGCACCCCAAATGGTGCTCACTGCAGAGACAAATGACCTCCAGTTTCCCCTCTCTGGACATAATGGGTGAACCTTGGGCTAGTTCAACTCTTCTGCTTTGTTCAAATACCCACACTTGCGGTCTTGGCCCCTTGAGAGGCGTGCACATGACAGGAAGTAAGTAAAAATGCCAAAGTGCAGTGCCCTTAATAATGCACACTAAACCCACAAGAGCGGTTTGTGATTTAAATGGTGTGTCTTCTGATAGTTACAAAGCAACTACTGAACAGACATGTAGAACAATTTTAAAATGCAAAGTATTGAACATATAATAAATAAAAGGTCTGTAATCACTTGCATATTTTGTAAGACTATAAGTGTGTCCCATCAAGTAATCAAAAGTTCTACACACACTTGCAGTCTTTATGCCTACTTGAACACTTGGGTCAAATAGAGGAAATACGTCATACAAGTATAGACAAGTGGTCAAGTGCCGCAAGTGTGGCTATTTGGACAAGGTATTCCTCTGTCTAATGGGTGGTGGAGCTTGTTGACCTAACAAGGTTTAGGGATAGGCAGAGCCATTATTGGAACAACGAACATTCGCAAACAGCATCGCAAAGTTGTGTGGTTGGAACGACAGCTCTCGAGCTGTGGTTAGAAGCAGTTTCTAGATTGCTGGAGATAGGATTGGGTGTGGCTGGAACTTCCCAGCTAATAATTTTACGTTCTGGGAACGTTAGTTTTTGGTTATAAAAAATAACCTAAAAATAACCTACAGGGAACGTTCTTGTTTGGTTCCCAAAAAAATAACCAAATGGGAACCATACGGGAACGTTATGTGTTTGGTGGGTCACAGCTCTACTCATTACGTCTAGAGAGGGGGAGCCCGACTGCCCTGCCTGTAATGTGCACTGTCCTGTGGGCTTTTTGTTTTTAATTGTTTTGTTTTTAATTTGTTTTATTGATAATGCTGCAGGTTTCCAGCATTATCCCTGCACAGAGAACTACAATCCTTCTGGATTATTGAAGGCCATTTTTGTAAGGGGAATGGGTACAAATATAAGATGTCTGCCGTCCTCAAGTGGCTGTCAGAGGAAACGCAACACTTTCAGATCAAGGGTATTTTGCTTATATCAGGTTGAGGTAGGCATATGTCTGTTTTATATGTTAGACAGTAAACTTTTGTAATAAAATTTTCTCTGGGCAAAACAATGGTTTAATATGTTATGATACCTTTCATATGTAGTTTTTTTTATAATTATTTTAGAGTATATTTAAATGTTTTAAGGATTCTTTGCTATGCTGTGTTCACTGCTGGTGGTTTAAGTGGTATTAGTGGGAATTCTGTGATTTACTTCTCTTGAACTGACAAAAGTACAAAGAAAAAAAAATCAATGTTTTCACTGGGCAAATTAATTGTATTTTATTTTGTAAACAAATTTAGATTTTGATGGCTGCAACACACTCCAAAAAAGTCGGGACAGAGGCAAAATGACAGTGAAACAAATATCCAAGTTAAACTGTTTTGAAACATAGATGATTGTATCGTGATTGAGTGTAAAAGGAGCATCCCGGTGAAAGATGGGTCATTGCTCGCCACTTTGTGCCTAATTTCATGAGAGAATTGTCAAACAATTCAAAAATCACATTTCTCAATGCAGGATTGCAAAGCATTTAGGTCTTTCACCATCTACCATACATAATATTGTGAAAAGATTCAGAGAATCCAGAGAAATCTCCATGAATGAAAAGTCAGGAAACCTCTGTTGAATAAGCGTGACCTTTTAGCCCTTCACACGGCATTGCATGAGAAATCATCATGCTACTGTGTTAAAAATAGCCACATGGGCTCGGGGGGACTTTGGAAAACCATTGCCACTTAACACAGTCTGCCACTGCATCAAGAAATGCAACTTGAATCTCTGTTCCGCAAGGAGAAAGCTTTACATCAATTCTATGCAGAGAATTGCTGCAAAATGCTGCAAGTTCTCTGAGCCCGAGCTAATCTCAGATGATCCAAAACACAGTGGAAATCTGTGCTGCGGTCAGATGAATCCATGTTTCAGCTTATTTTGGGGAAAAATGGACATTGAGTTCTCCCTCAGTGCCAAAGACGAAAGGGACCATCCTGACCTTAAGAAAGGGCAAAAGTAAAACATCTGTCATGGTATGGGTGACTTGCATGTGTGTAACGATACCATTAGCTTTAAGGCGTAGGCCTATGTTGGGATTGTACGGAGACATATACTGCCATTAAAGATGACATTAAAGAAGACAATTTCAGGCCTCATTCTGCATGTGCTACAACAGAGAGGTTTCTAGGCACTTTACACAGTTTCTTTTTCATGAAAAAGAAAATCAGACAACGATGACCACAGACTTTTGAGCAGCTGTCTATCAGGTGAAACAATTAGTAGGTTATCCTCTATTACCAAATGATTAAAAAATGTAATTAAAAGGAAAGGCGACGTAAAAATGCCTCTCTTCAAACTTTTTTTTGGAGTGTGTTGCAGTCTTAAAATACTCTTAAATTGATCAGTGCACACTTAAGTTGATCCATGAAAACATTGAAAATCTTTTCTCTGTACTTTTGTCAGTTAAATAAAGGTTAAAGAGAATGAACAAATCACAGATTTTCGACTATTACAATTAAAAAAATGTCCCAACTTTTCTGGAAATTGGGTTGTATTATAAAGTATTTCGTTCAAATGAATATAAATACATTTTAGAATCAATAGATAAAGCTTTAAAATGACTATGTGAGCTGACATGTTTGAGTTTCTGTATGCAATATATATCTTATCTATCGAACTAACTTCACAACTTTAAATTGCACTAATGTAGCAAAATGTTTTCTTTTAGTTATCCTCTCATGGACAAGTCTTTTCTTATTGCTGGGTAAGTGCATACACAATTTTAGATAATAATTTATCTCATAATCTTCAGCAGAAGAGAGAAATGAATCATGCTGATTTTCTCACGAGAAGTGAATCAGTTTCTCTGTACACAGTTTAAAGGCATGTGATTGGCTCTTCACTACTGATGCCACACTTTCATGTGCATACACCTCATAAACTCAGGATCAAAGCCTGAATTGACAGAGAAAGTTGATGATCAGCATCATAGTACCAATAAAGCCTGATTGGGTTGGTTTGGTTTTGCAAACTCAAAACTAATCCCGTAACCCTGAGTTTGTTCAACTACCATCGCGGTACGAGCCCCTGATTGGACAAAAAACCTGCTTAGTGAAGGATGAGGTATCAGCACTTCAGTCTGGTTTTATCAGAGAAAGACTGTACATTTCTGTAAAAATCCACCAAATGCAAGTTTTCCAGCAAAAAGTGAGTTTTCCCTGTCTAAAATGTGGTATGTCATAGGACCACATCTCAAAAACATTTCCAACTCATGCCAGATTCTTCTCTAAAATAATTTAAAGTTCCAGCACAGTCAGGCACTTTTAATGGAAGTTGGGCTAGAAAATAAAAGCTTAAAAACAGTTTAAAAAGTATTGCCATAAACACTCATGTAAATACCTGTTGTGTTAATAATTATCACATTGTAATAGGATATGGACATCGGATGGGTGTAATTTCATTTAGTTAAAAATCCCCAAAAATGTAATAGTTGATACTGTTGTATTGTATTGTAAATAACCGTTACACTTCATTTTAAGGTGTCCTTGTTGCAGTGTAATTATACATTTAAGTGCAGAATAATATATACTTTCAATAGGGTTAGGAATAAGATTTGGTCTAGGGTTTACTGCTACATTAAGTACATGTAACATATGTAAAACAAAGTGTTACCAATAACTATTTAAAAAGACAATTAGAAATAGTCTACTGTGGTTCCTTGGAAATCTTTATTACCAAAGCAAGAAAATAAACAAGTTGAGAGACCATATATATTTGCTGAAAAAAATTTATTACCCTCAAAACATTTACAATTCCATTTCAGCAGATAATTTAAATTACTCATGTGAAGGTTGAAGTCAAATAAAATGGAAGAGTAGAGGAAATATTCACAGTGCAAAAACATACAATTTGTAAATCAGTGTGGCCCAATGCCTGGATGACACTCCTGTACCTCTGTAACAATATTATCATACTGTTATAATGATATGCTTCTATCCAACTTAAACATACAAGAGATGAGGTACAAAAGGGCTTTTGCAACTCTGCAAAATTTGCAAAACTGCAATCACATTCACATTTCTAAAGTGCTTCCTCTACAATGGCCTTAATTCAAAACCATGATGTAATGAGAATCTGCAACAATTTTAAATTAACAAAAATATTCATGAAAATTCAAAACCCAAATAACCTTTATCATTCAAGTAGCTATTCTCTTGCATTGGTGGGAGAGGTTAGCATGGTCAGACGCACAAAAAAAAAGCATGTTGTTAACCAGTGAGAAATAGCAAATAAAATGAAAGCTGAACCAGTACTTAAACTTTTCTGTAGAATACATTTTTTTAATGCTTCTTAAAGTTGAGTAAATTAAATCAATGGTTAAACCTATACATGAATTAAACAGATACTTTTGCCTTATGTTCATCTCTTTCATTTTCATCCTTTTCCTTGTCATCTTTGTCCTTGTCCTTGCTCTTTTTGGACTTTTTTTTCTTATGTTTGTGTTTCTGTCCTTTGAGCTCTGATTCAGACTCATTACTTGTATGTTTCTTATGCTTTTTGTGTTTTTTGTGCTTCTTGTGTTTCTTCTTTTCCTTCTTCTCCTTTTTGTCCTTTTTCTTTTTTTTGCTGTCCTGACTGCCCGGAGAGCTGGGGCTGCTGCTGTGTCCATGGCTTCCAGAGGGGCTTGGACTCTGGCTGCCACTGCTGTCCCGCTCTCGTCCTCTCTGCTCCATTTTGCTCTCAGGGTCCGAAGTCTCGCTGTCACTTTCGCTGTAGTCAGGGACAAACGCAGCCTCGTCAGTTTCCCGTGCTAAATCTGATGACAGTCTTGTGGAGCGCGCCGATGGGATTTTGACGTGGTCGCCATGTACGCCACCTTTCTCTGCATCAGACCTAGGCTCTGGAGTCAAAGCTCTATGAGGAGTCCTGTGCTCCCGGTCCTTTATAGGACGCACATCAGAATGCCTAGAACCCTGGCTCTCCTTACTGCATGGCCAGTGTCCTTTGTGATCCTCTGGGCCAGTTCGTTTTGGCTCTGGGGCATTCTGCGATGATGCTCTCTTATTCCTGCTAGGACTTGGACTCCTATTCGACTCCGGTGGGGCCTCAAGTGTTTTTCTCCCAGAGTCTGTGTGCAAGTCCTTTACCCTTGAGGGCGATACTCTCCTCCTGATTGGACTTCTCTCATCTTTTGATCTTGTGCCTAAGAGGTCTCTTGCATCATCTCTATGCTCTGGTTTCCTACCGGCAAGGCCTGTTGTTGTCTCTCTACCTACTGGCTTTCTAGAGGTTGGTTCAGGCCTGTCAGATTGCCTGTCTCTGGATGACTGGGAAGAGCAGCTCCGTTCACTGCCATGGTCACTGCCTTTCTCCTGCACATGCTCTCTCTCCTGATTAGGTACACTAGGTTTCCTTTTATCAGTTATCTCACGATCTGCAGTGCTGGAGCGGTCTCTTTCTTTCCCTCTGTCCCTTTCTCGCTCTTTGTCAGAATCTTTCTCCTTATCACATGATGTGGGGTCCTTGGCAGGTTTGACATCTGCCTCTTTGGAGGCCGTAGGAGCTTTATCAGCATGGGGAGACTCCTTGTCAGTTGATTTTGCAGCAGTCTCCTCCCCCGAAGGAGCAGAACTGGATGTGTTGATTCCATCTTTTCTAGTTGCAACCTTAGAATCATCGTCCTCAGATTCATAGTCCTCTTTTTCCCACTTGGAACGGGGCACCTGTATCATGACGATTTCGTCCTCAGCAGGGGTGGAGCTGTCATTGGTGTATTCCTCCAGGGTCTTTATCACAGTCTTCTTTAGGTCAAGCTTCTCCTCATGCTTTTTGATGGGGCTTCCTCCTGTGGAGCTGGTGCTGCCAAAGACAACAAATATAAATAAATGGATGGTACAGAAAATAAGAGTTGTCAAGTTAATTATTTATATTTCATTTCTCTCACCTGGTGTAATCAACCAATAAGGATCCTGACCCATCAGGAACATGCACCTTCCTTCTCAATTTTCCTCTAGACTTGTCTAGCCTGCCCTTTCCTGTGGCATGAGCAGAGTCCTCAGCTGAAACTGGCCGATCAATGCTAGATATTCTCTTGCCAATTTCCCTGTTGATTTTAATCTTTCTTACAGGCTCAGGCTTAATATCCATCAGAGACGGAATAGCTACTTTCTCCTTCTCTACTGGCCTTTCACTCACCAGTCTGGGTTTAGGTTTTGGAGAGCTTTTGGCCATATCAACTTCCATTTTTGCTATTTTTACAGGAGGGAGATCCAGGTCTTTCGCAGATGGCTTGTCATCTTTCCGTTTCTTTTTTTCCTGTTTGGTATCTTCTCTTGATGTCTTGGTGTGCATCTTCTCCTCAGTTTTCACAGGCTTCTCTGGCTCTTTTTTGGGGACTTTCCCATCTTTGTCAGATACTTTGTCTGGCTTTGGAAGGTCTTTCACCAATTCCTTCCTGCTTTTGAGCTCATCTTTGATGGGCTTCAGCTCTTGGTGGTGTTTAATGGGCCTAGACTGCATCAACTTGCGTGGGAGCATGAGCTTGGACTCTGAAGACTGAGGTTTACTTATTTCAGATTTGTGGGATGGTTCGTCTTTGACTCTCTTAATGGCTGGTTCAGTGGGAGCCCCCTTCTCTCGCGGTGCATCTGATTCCTTCTCTCTAACAGGTTTTGACATCTTGCCTGATGGTTCCTTCTGCCCACTGCTTTCAGACCTTCGTTTACCTTTGTCAGATTTGCTTTTAGTCCTCTCTTTCTTCTCCTTTTCAGGGGTACTCTTGTAGGGCACTGCAGCACTATCCATGGGCTCATCCCTGACAGGTGTGGCATCATCACGGCTTGAATTAATCAGCAAGGAGTCCCCTTTACGATCATCTTTCCTGGAATCATCCATAGAGTCAGAGTGGCTGAATAGATCATCATCTCTCTTCTTTTTGCGATGTTTCTTATGTTTCAGAGACTTGGGGTCTGTAGCGGTGCTGCCACTTGGTTCTCTGTCCTTGGTAGATTTCGAAGACTCTTTGTTAAGTCCTCTCCCTGCTCCAGTGGTGTTGACATTAAGGTGGCCATACTTCTCAGCACACTTTTCTTGGTATGTCATTGCAACTCTGCCTCTTGGAGGAACACTGTGGCTCTGAGGTGGAGGCGGGTAATCCTCCCGACGTCCCCTGCCATAGGGGGAGTTTTCTCTTGGTCGGGGAGGAGCAAAACGCTCAGGAGTATAGGGATCTCTGGTGCCTGGAACACGGCCCCTCATTTGACCACTTGGTGGGGTGTTATAACTCTTAAGGTATTTGTCATACCACTCCCTGTATTCCCTTTCCCACTCTCTGTATCGCTCTCTCTCATAGGGGTCACTCTGGTCTACGTTTCGACCATAATAAGCCTTAGCATCATAAGGAGGGAGCTCTCTGTACCTCCCTGTGTATTTGCGCTCACCCTCATTTTGAGAAGGGGGAGGGAGTTTCTTGCTGGGGCTGTGATTTCTATACATTGGAGATCTGGAGCGAGAACGATAGATTCCACTACCCATTCCACTCATCTCCCGACCCCTATATGATGGAGATCTACTGTGGGAGCGATGGTATGTAGGAGTGCGTGACCTAGATCGATAGCTACGGCTTCGACCTCGGCCCCTGCGGGAGTATGGCGAGCGAGAGAAGGAGCGTGATCGGGAGCGAGAGCGTGATCTTGACCGAGACCGGGATGGTGATCGAGAGTAGGAACGTGGTGATCTGGACCGAGAGCGAGATTTTGAATAAGAATATGATGAGCCACTGTAGGAAGAACCCCTATATGGAGATTTTGATCTGAAAAAGAAAGGTAAATTAGGACAATTTAGTTGATGCCAAACATTTCCCATCAAAAAGGACAGCTTACTGGTGGACCTGTATTTATCCTAACCTAGAGTAGGATCGCCTTCTCTCCTTCTGGATCTTTCTATACTCCAAAAGCTCTTTGGCAAAGTCATTGGTAAACTCTTCAAGTTTGGACGACTTCTCCCTGGTAACGAATCGACATTGGGAACTATTTATCAAAGACAGGAAGGAAATAAAACTTTGCAGTTAAAATTTGGTTATTCATTACAACACACATGATTATTAGGAGTAAGAGGGGAAGAATCCACACAATACTCCACACAATCCATATTTAAAACTCTCAAAAGACACAATAAATAAATCATAATGCTTCAATCAAAACAACCATATAACCATTTACATCTATACGAGGAATGAGCCAAATAACCATTTCAATAAATAAATAAATAAATACATATAATTTTAATATATATATATATATAGGGTTTTTCCTGGCTCAAAATGAGGCGGGAGTGGTAAAATCCTGAATGTATTTTGAGAAGATAATTAAATTTGTATTTTTTGTAGACCATTATATACTGTTTCCCGGTGGACCTCGGCACCTCTAGGGGTGTCTGGGGGCATGGCCCCCCATAAGAACATTTAGTACATTTTAAAGATAAATTCATTAATCTGGTGCACTTTGAGTCACCCGAATTTTATTTAAAATAAAAGTTCTTCTTTTGGCAAAATTACATTTTACATTTAATGGAAATGCCAAAATGAATAGCCTAAATAGAGGCTTTACTCCCTTCAAACTTAAATTGTCAATGTTTCATTACATCACTGTTGGAAAACACTCGTATCAGATTTTTTTTTTAACCTTTATAAAGGGCATTTTCCCCCTAATTTTATTAAATGTATGCTCCATCTTCAATTTCATATTCTTAAATTTGATCAATGCATTCAATTAGAATAATAAGACACTATAGGGCTGTTACCAATCAAATTAAATAATTTAGATTGAAAAATTACAACTGTATTAAATTAGAGATTGTTTTAAATATTTTTTTAATATACAAATAAGGAATGTTGAAAAGAATGATACTTTGAATCTAAACCACCAGTAGGTGACGGCAGGCGACCGTCTTAATGAATGAGTCATTCATTCAAACAGCTGATTTATTGTATTCCTGGTATTCAGGAAAACAGCACTCTGGTGTGATGATTCTTAATTGTATAATATGTTATAAATATATGCGCAAGCCTCAACAGCGCAACTTTGTTACCGTCAGTACATTAGGTAGGCCTATATATTATTATTATAAACTAGGCTATCAATCGCCACTTACATGAAATGAAATAAAATCAGAATCATCCTCGTGTTTTCAGTGATTCCCTAGTTATTTTTTTATATATTGACGTTTTAATCAGGGGATTTGTCCGGTTGGGCAAGTAAAAATCTCTTTCACTTATCCCTTAAACAAAACACGTGTCCCGGACAAGCGTTTATTTCGAGCCCTGGCATGTGTTTTCCTTGATTGGTTTTCCCTGAAGAGAATTACGTTGCTGAAAACGAAAGTAAAAGAGTGACGCACGTTCATTGTGTTTTACCGTGATAAGAGTTCCGTGTCTTTATTAAACTCAACACATTGAAATTATTCATCTGTCATTCACCCTCGATTAATTGGAATGTTATTTTTTTATTACTTGGCCCGCGGATTATCCACAGATATAACCGCGATCCGCGCAGCACTATGGACACAGGCCGGGAACCTGCAACAGAACCGTCACGGTGGAAAAAGCGTATCTTAGCATGCGACTGCCTGTCTGAGTTTGTCGAGAGGAGGCGGCCGCCTCGTAATTCTCTATGCAGGAAAAACCCTGTATATATATATATATATATATGTTAATTTATTGAGTTAGAACTCTACATACTCTTCTTTAAGTCTACGCTGCTGGCGGTAAAACTCCTCCTTGGATAGAAAAGGTGCTGCTGGCATAGAAGAGATAGGGTTGGCTATAGGTGGCTGGGCACCAGGAGGCACCCACGGGGCTGTCACAGGTGGGACAGGTGGAAATACAGGTGGTGGAATGTTGAAGGGAGGGGGAGGCTGCTGTCCAGGAGGATATTGTATGGGATACTGCTGAGGAACAACACCAGGAGGCTGAGGCATAGGGTGTGGTGGAGGAGGAAATAGAGCAGGAGGGCCATACACTGGAGGGATAACAGGCGGAAGATTTTGCACTGGTGGAGGCTGTGTTCTTGGTGGTCGCTCACTAGGACCTCTCCCTCGATTTGTGGACCTGATAGGATAAATAGACTGGAGTAAAGTATTCATCTTTTTTTAATCAAGCTGAAATATTTAAAGATTTTACTCTTTGATACTTACGGATCCCACGCAGGACGGCTTCCAGTTGGCCTTGGTCCACTAGTCCTTGGCTGTCCTAAAAAGGGGAACAATTGTAAATAATAAAACCACCAAGTAAAAAAAAAAAAAAAAAAATAATAATAAAAAAAAAACCTAGATAGTGCCGATATTATCTTACCTGGTCTGTGCATGTGGTGCTGAGGCATATTCGGCTTCCCAATCACTGGGACATGGAATCCCTAGGCAAAACAAATGGGTGGGGGATCACTAAATTGTACTCATGGAAACAGGTTAAAGGCTGCACAGTAAATCTCCCCAAATCTCCCTACTTGGCTTGTCTATTTTTGCAATACAGAATTTAAATTATATTCTATTGTTTGCAACATTGTAAGGGAACAATTTTTATCTGACAAAGAAAAAAATGCTGCACATTGCATCTAAAATGTCATTTTTCCTCAATATTTTAGTATTAACGGAAATACTCTTGCTCAAGTAATATGGCTCTATTAGTCTATGTAATTCTCTTTTATTAGCTAACTTAAAACACTGTAAAAAGGTAATACCTTTGGAAAAGATGAAGTTGTCGGGACAGAGGGTTCTGAAGAAGGCACAACAGCAGATGCTGAGACCTCTGGTTCCCTAAAAAAAAAAAAAAAAAACTTTAACAACTGCATAGACATACTCGAGTCCGGTACCTCATGTTTTACACCATGGGATCCTCTGAAGTGCTAGAAAATTATTTACTTGGATGGAGGATCATCCTGCTTAGCAGAGTGCTGAGGAGAGTTCACCACAGGGCTATAGTTTGATGCTGCAGGTGCAGTGCTGCTGTGTACAGTAGAGCTGCTAGAAGAAGGTGGAGTACTGGAGGGCTGATGAGTGCTAACAGGAGATAAAGGGGCAGTAGGTGTGCTTTGGGGAGGGCTGCTATCAGCTGTTGAGCTCGGAACATTGGCCATAAGAGGGTCCTGCTGGCGTGAGGTTGCCAGTCTCAGAGGTGGCCGCTGGGCAGAAGCCTGTGTTTGAGCTCCTTGGGTAACAGCTGCAGCTTTTCGAATCCTCTTGGTATATCCGGTTTCATTCCTAAAATTATTCACTGCCTGGGGTTGGAAAGAAAAGGTTGTGTTAATGTTCTACTATTAAGTTAGAAGCAAAAACACAGCAGTTTAACAATGATTAAGATAGGGATTTCTTACTTGGCGCAAAAATTTGTTCGCGATCAAAGCATCAGGAGATACATCTGATTGTTTGCAGGTTGGGCAAACATGTTCGTCAGACTCCAGCAAACATGTCCGAATACCTGCGGTCAAAAGACTGTAAGCTTTCAAAAGTCAAAAACACTTCACCTTTCTGAGATTTGTTTGTACAGAGACTTACACTCATCACAGTAACTATTTCCACAGCAGGGGATAACCACAGCATCTGTCATTAGATCCTTACAGATCAAACACAGCAGCTCATCAGGTACAGGATCTTCTTCCTCTGAAGATGAAGATTGATTTTGGGGCAAGAATGGTGGCTTCTCTTTTTTCCCAATGGCATAGGCCTCACTAAAAGCAAGCGTGATACGATTAATGATATTGGCACGTTGCGGCCACTACTCTGATGGTTTTGCATAATTGTGTCAGAAGTGAAAAATATGGAAATTTTCCTTTAACACAATCCCTTACAGGAAGGCCAAGTATACTCACGCATCAATCGTGGGAATGGCATATATTCCACTGTTGGTCAACATGACTCCCTTTCTGCTGGGATCATCAACCTCCACCATGAAACTCCGAGGAATTCCTGTGCTTTTCTTTATCCGTTGAGGAGCTTCAAAACTTCGATCCTGCTAACGCATGGTTGATATGCAAGATTAAATTTCTTCTCTGACTAAATGAGCATACTATGGTAATAAAATGCTTACGCACACAAAAAGTTATAGTAAGCGAGCTGTGGTAATGAAAACCCAATTACCCCATTCGTTGGGCAGTTTCGGATATAATGTCCAGTTTTTCCACAACGAAAGCATGTGTAGTTTGGTGGAGGTGGACCAACAAGCTTCTTTGCATAACTAATGAATAGAGATTCATGTTAGAAATGACGCTGAGAGCAATTTTAAATAAAATGTCAATGTCTTGAATTGCATACTTACTGGATAGGGTCATACTCATGGTTGGACTGAGACATCATTGCTTTTATTTTGTCTTCCTCTGAAGCATTTGTTTCAGCAAGATTGGCTGTCTGTTTAACAGGTAATAATGTTTTCACATATAAAATCAATGTTGGAATGTTCAATCGAGCCCAGAGATTTACTGAAACCTTGTCCTGTAAGAAGCAGCTTTTTGCCTCTATCAGTGCGTGATCTTTAAAAATACTAAAACGTAAATTATGAGTACCACCTCAGGCCTTGAAATGACAACACCCATTTTATATTAACCATAGCAAAAGAACAAATATAAAATTCATAATCAAAAGACAATCGACGACTCTCATGCATGCAAGACTTAATACCAACTACACACATGCATTGCCCATTGTCTAAGAGTTTTTTCCTCCATTTATTTAGTTTTATTGGAATGTCTCTTGGGGAAGTGTCAGATGAACAGAAGATTTCACACTATCACACGAAATGCAGTCATAGCATAAGACATGTACACAGTACCAAATTACAGTGGCATGGTCAACCTGAAATTCAAATTTGCTGTTGTACCAAAATTACATTAAATTGTTAAGTTTTTTGACATAACAATAAAGACAATTCACCATTATCCATAATAGAGCAAATGCTGCTGGTGTTTTTAAAGCCCAGTATATAGAAAAATATAGTTTTGTGAAGACCGCTCATATTGCTCTACAAAAAAAAAAAAAAAAAAAAATCCAGAAGTGAATAGCCGAGGGAATTTTAAAAATCCAGAGATTTGATCTTCAATGCGAAAAAAGAATAAAAGATCACAACAGGATTCCAGAGTGCTTGGTTTTTTTTTCTTAATTGAAAATGAACACCTGCAATTAGCATAATGTGGGCAAGAGGCTTATACAGTATTCCATTCCACACTGATAAAAGGCATTTGGCTCACTCTTTACAGGACCAGGCTTTCACACAAGTATCAACACAATTATAAAATCATCAAACAATGAGAACATTTCATTAACTAAATATTAATCTTGCAATTAAAAATAATGTAATTACTGATTTGCAGCAAAATACCAGATGCTAAATTCTCAATATTATTCCTGATAAGCAAGTTTCTGACTAATGCAAAACATACAATTTCACAGAGTATTACACAACCAATTCCACTTAACATTCTAAGCATATATAAACAAGCCACAAGATTTGACAAAAAAATTATACTGCACACTTGTGCCTACATTATGGCTTGCCAAATCCAAAACACGGAAGTTAGATGCAGTAGAACAGTGTTATCAAGTAGTTACAGAGTTTAAAATACCTTTGAAAGCAGGGCCAGTGAAATGGATGAAGAATCATCAATCTGTCATCGGAAAAAAAACATTAAAACAAAGAGGGGTTGACCACTATGACAAGGCACAAATCTATCATGCCCAATAGAGAGAATTTGGACAAATAAAAGTCTTCAAAGTTAACACTATATAACACAATTAGTAATATTACAACCAAATCCTAATGGAAAGACATGACATTTATTTAAAAGCATTTAAAAATATAAACACCATAGTTAATAGAACATTACATATTTTATCTTGAATAAGTTCATCACGGTACCAAAGTTTTGCGGTTCTCAGTACCAGAGCGAAAACTGTTGAATCAAGTACTTTAAAATGGTTTGTTCCGTTTAACCTCATCCGTTGATGATCACTGTAAATTATTGCAGTTTCATATTCAATCATGCATGTAAAAACAGCTGGCAATCCAGAAACTTTGCCGTGTACTTGGCAGCATGAAAAACTGAATTTATATTTAGATTGTGAAGAGCCCTTAATAAATCACCAAGACTGTCAATCTCCGAAGCGCAAGCTCAATGAATTCTGCACTCTTGGCGAAAACTTGCGTTAAAACAAACAAAAAAAGCCTGTCTTAATTGTACAATGAATCTCTTATTTACATCGTGTTTACACTTTGTTGGTTATCATGATAGGATTTATGAGTATGCGGCTCACGTGTAACAAATCCAAACTTTGTGAGCTTTCAGAGGTGTTAGGCAAATTCCGACTAGCACCTCTAATAGGCCATCGTGTTCACGTGCTCAACAGATATGATTGGCTACAAAACGCTTGTAAAAAGACGTTACAAATAGAAACCTTTGATGCTCAGAACACTCAAACGAGTGAGTTCGAAAGCAGCATGTATCAGCGGGTACCGAATATACCCGGTACTTGAGAAATGTTGGTCCCGTCAACATTTTTGTTTGTACCGACTGGTACGTTTGACAACACTAGTCATAACCAATTAATGGATATTTTTGAGCTTTGAATCACTAAACACTGTGAAAAAAGTATAGCTTCATAGTCATGTTTCACAGACCACGGCAATTACTTGTAATATAAGAAAGATGTAACTCATCAAAAAACCCTATGGAAAGTGAACACACAGGGCCTTAAGAAAGATGTGAGGGAGTTAAACACTGAAGTTTTATTGTACAGTAAGTCATATAGAAAATGCAATTTATTCATATAGAAAATATAACTAATACAACAGGCCATATAGGATATGAAGTGTGTATTTAAAACTGTCCACTGGAATTAGGTACTTTTGTAAATAAGTGTCCTACATAATGTGCCTTGTAGCGGGTCAATTCTTTTATAGCTAGTTTGGGTCTCAACATCACATAAGTACATGGGAGAGAAGCAAACTACAAGTGCTATCACAAAGAATTTTTGTTGTTGTTGCATAGTTCATCTGTCACAGTGGCCGGTTGCATAAACTGTTTAGACTAGTCTTAAAAGTTAGTCACCTAAAGTTTTCCTTCAAGACTGGTCCTAATTTTTTTAAGTCCGTAACATAAAAAGGTAGATTGGTCTTATTGGATTTGAAAAAGTCAGTCAAACCAGTTCCTTAAGACACAGTCTTAACCGCATAGTGGCTAAGTTTATGCAACTGGCCCAGTAGCTGATTTGCATACAGTAGAAAGACATCAAATATGGAAAAAAAGTACAAGTAACATGATTCAAATATGAATAAGCAGATTTCTGTGGACAATTAAAATACAATGTTCAAAAAAGAGGGTGGTGAAAAAAAGAAATTGTTAGAATAACCACAATTTAGCACAATTCGCCATGTCAGAATGACAAATACTAGCTGAAATATGCAATTACAAAAGTTGTGCCCAAGAATCACCATCTCACTGATACCGACTTTTTATACCGCTTTTTATACACCACCCCCCCCCCCCCCCCCCTCCCCTCCAAAAAAACCCTCACTATAAATACCAAAATTTAAAACTATTGTATTTATACAACTGTATAATCGGCGAATAAACCGCTGGTCTGGAATTTCACCCAAATGTGTTTTTTTCTTCAATTTCCCAAGCAATAAGCTACAAGAACCAATGTAATTTTACAAAGGGTAAGAGAACTTGCCATCACATTATAGTTGGGCAACAGTTTATTTGCAGTAGTCAAAATGTCTATATAGGCCTAAGATGTGCAATTTCTGCAACAATTGGCTCTCTTAATGAACAAATTAAAAAAATTAATCTAAACGTAAATTAGACTCAGAATTCACAGATAATTTAGGAGTACAGTTTTAACTAGAACAGATAATTTAAATTAAGTTGTACAACTAAAGGTAATTTGTTTTCCATGAATGAAAATTTTATAATTAAAACTACATTAGAGCCAAGTCTCGTTTGATTATCCTTTGAAAGCCTAGAGACAGTTTCCAAAACACTGAGCCAAGACAAGAACAAATCGCCTGTAAAAAATACATGATTCACCTTGTCAGTTAGTCCAAGGCAAGGCTCATTATGTTTTAGGTAATACACTTTGATAAAAAAAAAAAAAAAAAAAAAAACTCAGTCTCTCACACACTCATACATCCACACAACTAAATCAAACTATTGTGCCTTATAATAGCAATTGAGTAAACATAAGTAGTCAGACACTGAAGCTGTATGATACAAGGTGAAGTTAATAAATAACACAATGTATTTTTTTTATTTAAAAACAAACAAACAAAAAAAAAAACAGCTTTTTACAGATGTGCCACTTTAAGGACAAACAAATTGACCATTGGCCATGTTCAAGTATTATGTAGATCAATATGATCTAACACTACACTGTACAACAGAATTCATATTTGTAGATGACTTATTCAACGTGAAACAGTGTATTAGCATGCGCACAGACTTCTGTACACACTGGAAATTGTATAAAAACATGAAAATCAATGCAACAGCTTTAGCGAATCACACAATATAAACATTAAGCTCAACACACTTTGTTATCTTCAAACAGGTTTCAAAGACAACATTGAGGAGCATTAAAATTCTTAAATTGTTTCAAGACAAAGCAACTGCTGAGGAGTTTGAAAATGTGTGTAATGAGACAAGGAAATGAGGTGTTTTTACATACTGCTTTTGAAGATCCACTTGGTTCAGATCGATCGCTGCAAAACAAAACAAACAAAAAAAGAGGTTAACTTCCAATTAAAATTACTCAACACTGATAATTCTTCTACATTAACTGCAAGGCCACATTCAAACTGCTTAACTGAAATGAGGTGCATTTCTAAAGTTGCAATTGCGCTCTGCTAAGGCTAAAAAAAGGATAGGGGTGAATTCAGGTTAGCCCCTTTCACACAGCGCTTTGAACCCGGCAAATTGCCGGCAAATTGCCAGAGTGCCTTCTGTGTGAACGCAAACACGACCCGGGACTGATGCCGGGATCGATGCCGGGTTGGGGACCTAGTAACATTGCCGTGTTCAGACCCGGAACGCGCGCTGTGTGAACAAAAGCCGTAACCAATGCCGTGTCGTAATGATGACGCTGAAGTGAAGTGAAAGCAGGCTAGTGAAACAGTACGTAATGCGCTAGTTTATGATCGAATCAGAGAAAAAATGCACTAGCGTGGTTTCTCCAGAGAGAAATCGCAGCTCATAAGCAAACTATACACGTTGCTGAGACATTACATGTCACATCGATGTCACGTGTCTTTCCGGAACATACACGGGTTGTGTGTGAACGCGCTCTCTGATTCCGGCAAATCTCTGGCAGTGTGAATGAAGCAAAATCAAACGAACCCGGGTCAAATCCCGGGTCGCTTTATCCGTGTATTTTCCGGAATCTCTGTGTGAAAGGGGCTGTTGATTAGGACACTTTTTCATCTTAAAGAGATTCAGGGTGATTGGGACACGTTAAAGGGATAGATAACCCAAAATTAAGAATTCTGTCATCATTTACATGTTGTTCCAAACCTGTATGAATTTCTTTATTCTGCTGAACACTAAAGATATTTCGAAGAACGTCTGTAATCAAACAGTTGACGGTAGCCATTTACTTCCATAGTATTCTTTTCCTACTATGGAAGTCAATGGCTAGCGTCAAACATTAAGCTGTTGTTTAATGTTGTTTCCAACATTCTTCGAAATGTCTTTTTTTTTTTGTAAAACAAACAAACAAACAAACAAAAAAGCAACTTCCAAAAGGGTTGGAACAACATTAGGGCGAGTAAATGACAGAATTTTCATTTTTGGGTGACCAATCCTTGCCTTTTAACCCGTATGACTTTCTTCCAGGGATCAAAAGTAGTTTGGTAATAGCAGAGCCTTTACTAAAAAGCAGTTGCAATATTCACAATTGCTCTTATTCATACAATGAATGAAAATACAGTTTGGGGCAGGGTTGACTCCAAATGCAATTGTTTATCCACTGCTTTTATCCAATCACAGCATATTAAGTTCAAAAATGCAGAAATGCAAATATATTGACAACTTCGGTGCAAGAGAACATTCTTAGTGAGAATGAAAGTTTGGATTAATATTGGGGCAATTTTAGTTCTGGGGTGCTTTTAGTAAAGGCTCTGCTTTGAGAACATACTTACAAAACAAGACAATATAAAACACTGCAGAGCAGATAGAAAAAGCAAATTAAAGTGTTAGTGTACTCACATGACATATGTTTTGCTTGTCGACTTAAGCCCTCCAATAGGGATTCGTCTGATGATGACAGACGAGTTTTTGGGGATGAGGGCTCCATCATCAGTGTATTCTGTAAGCAAAGGCAAGAACGACAAAGCCATTAATCAACATGCTGCATTTTCCATATTTTTTTTCTAACTGATATCATGGAGAGGAAACGAAAGCAAACGACGCGTAAACTATACAAAATGGAGTCTTCACTAACGTTACACAAGTATGCGGGCAAAATCAAAGTATACATTGAATTAATATTCATAAATATACTACCATATTCATGACAGTTGATTTCACAAACGTAATAACTCGACTTAAATAACTAAGACAACGCTGTTGGCCGTCAGGATTGAGCCTTATTACCGCTTAGCTAGCATTACGTACATTAGCTTTGAGCTTACTACAGTAATAAAGACATTCTCTGATAAAAATGTATTAAACATGTAGTCTTTCAGGTCACGTAAATATTCGTTTTAGTTTTAAGCAACCTCAAAGATGGCGTGTAAGCAACTCATTTGCCCAGCTTAATTTACCTTCTTTAGTTTGAGCGTTGGTGATTTGTAGGTCGCAATCCGCGGCCTTCAGCTTTTCTCGCCCCATGATCTGGCGTTTCAAATCACTGAGCGTGATGTGAAGGCCATCAAAGGTGACCGTATCGTAGTTAAGTTTAGAAGAAAACTTGTAATGGACACAAGACATGTTTAAACAATCCTTGTGGTCAGATACCACCACACACAACCAAACTCAACTGCAATTCGCACGATCGCGTGGGCTCTCCCAGCGATCAACCTTACTCAGGGTCAGTTTATCAGCTTAACAATTCAAGCATAATAATAGCCATATTTGCTCATCTCAACACTCTTTTTAATCAAGAGTCACCACTAAAGAGGTCGTGTGGGTTTTGCCTCAAGTGAATAACTGCGATTTGAAAATATCAAGTGTTCAAAGAGATTGTGATCAAGTGCAACACGCAATCTTAAAAACGCAAGTGACTTTTAGTCCACGGAATTCCCCGGCCGAAGCCAGAAATTCTCCTGCGGTTTCTCAAAGTCCCAGGACCATATGGCGGTTAGCCGTGAGCTGTCCGTAAGGTCCAACTCTGACAAAGAAATAAAGAGTTCAAACGGTGTCCGTATAGGTGAACGTGTAGAGTCCTGCCAAATATGTCGCCCAAGTGTCCGCTTCAAAGTTCCTCCGAAATGTTTGTTCGGTGTAGTCCAAATTTCACCACAACACAAACCGACGTAGTTTGAGGCAAGGCCTGAAACAATGTGCTAGCAGCTAGTGTGATCAACCTAAAATGGCGTCCATCACACATACAAAAAAACAACAAAAGACTAACGTTACAGCAACACCATTACAAAACGCTAAAACAAAATGAGCAAGAAAACCGGTCCTCCTTTTATCAAAATACTGCCGCGGTAATCCAGTCGCCCCGTCGTAAACACTGGTGACCACATATATATATTTAAATCACAGTTAAACCGTGCCGACTACATGCGCTTTCGAAAACAACTCGACAACTGCACGCATTCGAGGGGTTTCCACAGAAAACGCAGGGGCAAAGAATAAAGACGTTACTAGGAGGGGCAACGACTACGCATGCGCAGAGACTACCAATTGCGGAACGTTAACATCGATTGCAAGAATAGTAACAGATTACAGTAATACAAATAACAAATAAAAACCTTACCCAAATCACAGAAATATAAATTTTTATGTTTTAACATTTAAAGATCGTTTTCAGGTTGCATTGTTACATTAAAAGAACATGTTTGTATATTAGATTAATGCAACATTAGCATTTTTGCCTAACTTTAAAAATAAATAGTATTAGGCTACATTGCTTTTCCGTTTCCTTTACATTGGTCACCAAAGCCAAATAATAAATAAAATGCATGAATCAAAAATGATCAGACAAAATGTTTTGGTAAAAGGCCAAACTGTAGGCTACAGGGTAATGCAGCACTTTATAAAAGTTACACATCGCATAAAAATCCGTTTACATTTCTTTGGATAATTATTTGCTTGGAATACTAATTATTTACATTTTAATTTAGTATATTTTACTATATTAATTAGGCAACTAGTATAAGATATGCGATAATAACCAAACTTTTTCCAGTGTAAATTATTTCAGCCCACTTTGTTTTTAATTTATAAGGAGAGGAATTATGATTTATAACCACCAGATGGCGGACTATACAAATTATCGTAGTAGCCCACGTCATACTAGAGATATTGTGCTGCTTGTAGCATTAAACAAACATGCACTCTTGTCTATTTTTAATATGTTCGATCTGAAACCAAAAATGATTTCAAGTATAACACTCATATTTTATTTTAGTTCTTTGTTAATCACAGGCTACAATGTTTAACAGCAATGCATTGGAATAGGCTTCTTAATTTTTATGGCCTTAGATTTCAAGAGACGTCATCTTCAGTTTTTACTTAGTCAAAATTCTTATCTGTTGCAAACTGTTGCACTTAGAGAAACAAAGAGTCTGCATAACTCCAATATTGTTTAGAAAATATTACAGTAATTTTTGCTCAACAGTCCCTGTTCATGTGTGGGATTTAATCTGTCGTGACAAGAAAGCTAGCTAAGTCAACCAATGCCAGCAAAATGTTTATTTTCAGAAAGCATCTGTGCACTATTTATTCTTCTGCATGTATCTGCAGTATATGGATATTTGCTCAGGCTTATAGTCTTATTGTGTTCTTTAGGCACAATTAAAATACAGAACGTGAATGAGATAGTTATTCCCTCTTGTGTGCCGTGATCTGATAAATTACAAATGTGTGCGACTGATACACCAAGGAACACTTGCAACATCAGTCCGAATCAGAGCTAGGCTACTTATGCAATGGTGTTCGTGTGTGTGCAAATCCATTCAGGCATTTGGAGAACACATTTAAAGGTGCAGCACCGTTGGTAGTTTGTGTTGGATGCTCCCAATTATATGTCCTAATGCAGTCATTGGCTACAAGCACATGACGACAATGATGCTCGAATATTGCAGCCATACAGCTCTGTCTACATTTGAATCATCAACATTTAGCCAATTTCTTTGATTAGAGCCTCACATTCAACACTGACTGCTGTCGAAGTAATTACCAAGGACGTCATATAATTAAATTTGCAGATGATACTGCTGTGATTAGTTTACTGGAGCAAGATGAAACTGAACATGGTCCAGTGTTGCATGAATTTGTTGAATGGTGTGAAGCTTCCCAGTTGCTTTTAAATTCGTCCAAGACCAAAGAGATGGTCTTTGATTTTAGACATGGGGCGCCCTCACCCACTCCGACTCTGATAAAAGGAGAGGAGATAGAGATGGTGACGGAGTACAAATATCTCGGTCTTATCATTGACCATAAATTATCCTGGGATCAGTGTGCTGATGCCATTTTTAAAAAGGGCCAACAACGTTTGTATTTTCTTAGGAAACTTAATTATTTTAATGTTGATAACAAAATTTTGACTCTTTTTTATAAGTCTTTTATTGAGAGTATTCTCTCTTATTGTATAGTATGCTGGTATGGACATTCAAAAATTACCCATAGGATTAAATTGGGGAAGATTGTTAAAACCTGTGGAAAAATCATTGGTAAGCAACAGGTAGACCTGTACAAACTATATCTGACCAGATTGGCACAGAAGGCAGATAAGGTTTGTATGGATACAACCCATCCACTTTCAGTGAAGTTCAAGCCGCTCCCTTCTGGTCGTAGATATAGATACCATAAGGTTAGAACAAATCGAGCAAAATACTCATTCGTTCCTATGGCAACAACCCAATTAAATAAGGTGGGAGGAGGGGTATGATTGGAGAATATATGTGAAGTAATGTGAAGTGGTAATATTTATTTTTTATTTTATTTATTTATGACATTGTGCATGTGGATAATGTTTGTGTTGTGGATTATGTGTCAATATGCCTGTATTGTACAACAAATTGCCTTTCGGGGACATTAAAGTTTTCTAAGTCTAAGTCTAAGTCTAAGTCACATTGGTGTCTTTTGATGGGAGGCTGAATACTAGCCAGTCATATTTTTTCTCTATCGATATTAGAGGTCGATATTATCTGCTCGAGGCTGTCTTGACTTGCGGTTTAACTCACGAATATATAATCTACCTGAACCAACTGCATAATAACTACAACAACAACAACAACAAAAAGTCCACCGACGACTACCTGCATGGGTTCACAGTCAGGCTGCTTACTCATGGTTACACTCCATGTGAACTTGTGAGATGCACACTCTTCTGTTGCCCCTGAGTGTGAGGAACATTTGGCTCTCAGCTGTCACATCAAACTCTAATTTTCTCAGAAGGAAGGAGTGACTGATGGTCACCAACTTGTCTGCCATTTACTATCTCTTCCCCAGCAGCCCCCAGCTGTCTTTCTATACCTCGGTTTTACCACAGACTGCTTTGCACAGCCAATCTGTAAATCCAGTTCATTTTGGTCAAACACTGGCCTTCAGGGGACACAGTGTGCGTGGATATGCTGTGCAGCTTTAACACATGGGCTACATGAATTTGATTGTTCGGTTTTGGCTTTGTAAGCCCTGGGAGGGGAAATTTAAATCATTCCACTTCACAGAATGACACTGCATTTTTTATTTAATTTATTTTTTGGACATTTCATTTACTTTCCCCCACATTTCTTTAAATGGGTGTGACTGAGTCTTTGTTTTACTGTAATATACCAGTTGTTTCTCCTAGGCAGCAATTTCTATTTCCAATAAATGCAATTCTTTTGGACTTTCTATTCATTGAAAAAAAAGTATAAAATATTGTTTTTAACATTGATAATAATAAGAAATGTTTCTTGTGCACTATATCATTTCTGAAGGATCATGTAACACTGAAGACTGGAGTAATGATGCTGAAATTTCAGCTTTGCCATCACAGGAATACATTACATGGTAACACTTTAGAATACTGTATCTTACTTACTGAATAACCAATAAGGAATTATTAAAGAACTAGTAGGTAATTCTTCATTAACTACCTCTTCACTGCTGTTAACTACTAACGAAGATGTGTTAACTAATTAGTATGTAATAGAATTTTATGATTGTGTTAAGTTACAGTTAGTTAATCAATAACGAATGAATTCTGTCATACCTCCTGAAGAACTACTACTAATTATCGACTAATTAAGGTTCAAGAAAAATAACTATGAAGTAACTACTAATGAACAGTCATACACAGTTATAGTCACTACAATAATCCATTTTTTTTTTTTATCATTGTAGTGGTGGAAGAAGTACACAAATCAAGTGATTGAGCAAAAGTACAGATACCACAATAAAATATTACTCCAGAGAAATTATAATTAGGCCATTTTCAAAATTACCTTAGTAAAAGTACAAAGGTAATACATTTTTAAAGTACTTAAAGGATTAGTTCACTTTTAAAAAAAACCTTTGCTGATAATTTACTCACCCCCATGTCATCCAAGATGTCTTTCTTTCTTCAGTCGAAAAGAAATTAAGGTTTTTGATGAAAAGATTCCAGGTTTTTTCTCCATATAATGCACTTTACTGGGCACCAAACGGTTCAAGGTCCAAAAGACAGTTTAAGTGCAAACTGCAAACTGTTCAAAGGGCTTTAAACGATTCCCGACGACGAATAATGGTCTTATCAAGCGAAACGATCGCTCATTTCAAAAATAAATAACAAAGTTTAAGTTTAATAATGTCAAATGCTCGCCTTGCTCTGTTCTGTGATGCACGTTCGTGACTCTCCTGTTCAAACTCGTTCATCAAAATGAACAAATCTTTTTTCGAGTCATTTGGTTCATTTAACGAACGAAATGAACGAATTGACTCGGAAAAAGATTTGTTCATTTTGATGAACGAGTTCGAACAGGAGAGTCACACAGAACAAAGCAAGGCGAGCATTTGAGCTTATAAAACTTAAACTTTGTTATTTCTTGTTTAAATGAGCGATCGTTTCGCTTGATAAGACCCTCATTCATCGTCGGGTGTCGTTTAAAGCCATTTGAACAGTTTGCAGTTTGCACTGAAACTGTCTTTTTGACCTTGAACCGTTTGGTGCCCAGCAAAGTGATCCTGGAATGTTTTCATCAAAAACCTTAATTTCTTTTCGACTGAAGAAAGAAAGACATGGACATCTTGGATGACATGGGGCTGAGTAAATTATCAGCAAAAGTTTTTTTTAAAGTGAACTAATCCTTTAAAAAGTAAAAAAAAAAGAAAAAAAAAAGATACTTAGTTCTTATACATTTTAAACTTATTTTGCACCATTCAAGTTCCGGCAATATCATGGTAGCCCACATTTTACAGTGATTTGGTGATGCAAGAGGGCGGGCATTTGCATCCTCTTCTGGAGAGTTCTCAGCACCGCCAATTTGGTGCATTTCTTCTGCGAAATACAGGTTTGTGTATGTTTTATCATTACTGTATCATCACTAAATCATTACTGTGCTGTAAATCATTTTATTTTATGCAAGGCAACATACAAGGACGCGAGGTCAGTTAGCCTACCTAGCTGAGTCTGTCTTTTTTTGTGTGATGGA